GGAGTAGAATAGTTCATATCTGGTTGATTGTGGGAATAAAAGTCCATTGGTTGGTTGATGAATAAAATGCAAGACAGGTTTCAGAATGCGAACTATCTTCTCTCTGTCTTTTCAACGTTATCCCCATCAGCAGTTAGGATAAGTAAGACCTCTCTAATACAAGAATCAAGGAACAAGTTCTTGTTATTCACCAGATGCTCCCATATTGACAGCCCTTGAGAAGTGTTTGGAAATTATTTTAAAAGTTAATAACTGCAGTAAGGAGATCCAGAGTTCATTAGTCCCTAGAGTAGCACAAATTTTTCCATTCATGTGTACCATAACACTGACCTCAGAAGGTATTTGAGTTTGTCACTCCTCAAATCCATTGTCCCATTTTAAATATATTGCCTAGGGGTAATGTTTTACCCTTGAAAACTTTTTCTTAACCTTTTCAAAAGCATATCATTTTTTCATAGGCTCAGGGATCCAGTTATAACTATTACATGTGGTTTGTACTTAGTGGATTCTCTCTCACATCCCTGATATTTTTTTTCAAATTAACTTTGTAGCAACCTGACAATGAATAAAATGTCCTCAAGGTGAAAAACTAAGGGTACTTGCTCACAAATAAATGACCGGCCTATGGACAGGTCTAAAATATATGTTTCATGAAGGCTCAATATACTTCATACTTATTTTATAAGGTCACAGATAATAGACCCATACCAGTATAATCATATAGAGGTATATGAAATGATAACTCAGAAAAGAAGCAAATGGATCTGGGTGTTGGAGACTGCTTTTGTGGAACAAAAGGTCAGATTACTAATGGATCATTTACTGGATGGTTAAGCTTTCTGAAACAAGGTAGTTCTGCACAAATACACTGGGATTGATTTAGGTTTATTCACCCACTATCCAGGCAGCTGACAAGGATACAAGTACACCAAATTTTTACACTAGATCATCTTCTCTGGATGTGAAAACATTTTTTGATACATTCTGGCACATGTCTAACTCTAAAGAGTTGGCTTCTTGTCTTAGTGGGATAGTTATGTTATTTTCCTATTCGTATGGCTTAGAAGGCCCTAACCACCAGCAAACTTCAAAGTCATCTGGAGTACTAATAATACAGATTTCTGTGTTTCTTTTCTGCTCAGAGTTTTAATTTGATAAGAATGAACGGGGACTGGAGAATTATACTTTTAAAACCTTGCTAGATAATGCTGTGAGGAGGGGTGGTATCTACAGAAGAGATATTAGTTTAGCAAGCCATTAAATAGCTTTTATTATTAAAGTATAGTGTCAAATAGGTTATTTAATCTGATTTCTCTATGTTCATAATCCTGTTGTTTGTTTTGTTTTGTTTTGTTTTTCACAGTACCAGGAAATGAATCCAGGGCCTTCAGACTGAGCTACATCCCTAGGTATTTTTAATTTTGAGGCAGGGTCTCCCTGTCATAGAGTTGCCCAAGCTGGACTTCCAGTGAAGATCCTCCTAACTCAGCCACTCAGAATGCTGGGATTATAGGTGTGGTCCACCATGCCTGACAAAATATACTTCTGATATTAATATACCTTGCTGAAGTACTAATCATGGTCAAGAATATCCAATCATATTCATTTCAGATTTTTATGAAAAGTAGTATTTAAAAACAATTTTTAAAATTCAATAATACTACAAAAACTGTAATATTAACCAGAAAGCCCCTTGCCCTCTTCCATATTGGGAATCAGATGCCTGGGCAGCTACATGAATCTTTTATCTTTATCCTGTTATTTGCTTCCATATTGATGCATGAATTCTATATTATTTTTATGCTCGAATGTTTAACCATTTTGGATCTGTCTACCAATTCCCTATAATTTAAAACGTTTATTTAACTAGCATAGACCATGCTTTCCCTCAGCTTCCAGTGTAGCAATCGCACAAATTTTAGTTTAGCCAATATTTGGGTTAGATTATTCTTACCTTAATAAAATAATGGACTATAGTTGTCCTTTGTTCGTTGTATGGTTTTGTTTGTCTTCTAATCTTGCTAATTGAACAACTTTTCATCTGCTTAGTTTTAATATATATCCATAATTATTTCCAATAATTTTGAAAAGAACTTTCTCAGTGTAGCTTTTAAAGCTGTACTACCTCTCTTTTTAGTGTTTTGTTTATTCATTCATTCATTTTACAGACACTGTTTCTGGAACTACGTTCAATCTTTCTTGTGTAGTCAGAACTGCTGTCATTTTGGCCAGCTAAAAGGTACAATATTGACTACTGTACTTTTTTGTCCTTCTCTGATTTTTTTTGTTGTAGCTTTGTTTTGCTTTTTGATTTTCTATTCATTAATAGAGTTTCTTTGACCTTAATTTACTTTTCAATAGCTGATTTGTATTATTTTAAATCCTTGCTTTTTCAATTTCCATTTCTAAGGAAATACTTAAAGGATATTCTTTCAGGATATTCATTTTTTTGAAGTTTTGTGTGTTGTATATTTCTTTTTTCCTTTTCTTTACTTTTGGCCTCTGAATCTTATGTTGAACATCTTTCAAATGACTGGTAATCCTTGGAGCCCATTGATACCTGTGAATAAAGTACCTACGTGAGTCCTTACTAAGTGTGTGTGAAGCTCCAGTACCAATTCTCTTACTTTAGACTCTAATTCTCCAGGAAGGAATTTCTCTATCTTTTGTCTAATTGTGTAAGTTGCAGTCTGGCAGTTTTCTGGAAGTCTGGTGAAGGAAGATAGGTTCACTAATCACATTTGATATGGAAACTGTCATGAAATCTAATTTCCAGTTCAGCTCAGCACTCTATGTTCCACTGTTTCTAGCAACCAGGCACACATTTCTCTCAAACTCCAGCACTTCAGTGTTCTGTGGGTGGAGAGCGCACCTAAAATCAACACAAAAACACTTTGTTAGAGGGGAGAACAAATCCAGGAGAGTCTAGCTGCCTCATAAAAATTACTGTTTCTTTCATTTTTTTAGCCTCATTCTCAGAATTACTTAAAGTCTCAAATTTTTCAGTATTTTCAAAATTCAATGCGTAAAAAATATCTACTTTCTTCCCTGTAGTTTTAAGCGGCTCACAAGTTTATGTCAGTTTTGTTTTCCACTTTTGTGATGCATTAGGCACTTTACTGTCATTTTCAGTTAGTTTCTGGAGAAAGTATCAACATATGTGTTCAATGTACCTTGCTTTAGCAGTTGCTAAAAATTCTGTACCTTAAACATATCAAAATAGTGGAAAATAGAGTACAGCTGGTAAACAGAGGAAGCTTGACATTCACAAGAATCCTTCCACACTTTATGTCAGAAGTTTTAATATGAAAGTCATGTTTGTAAACTGGTGTTATCCATATCAGTGTTGGAAATTTTTATTAGTGCTCAGTATTTATCAGTGTAAATTTACCACTGAAGGTTGAGACAAAATTATTTGATTATACATTTAAAATTACTTCATTATATATTTATCACTATTATAAAATTACTTCATTATATATTTATCACTGACTTTGGTGAAACTTCTAAGGTTAAAAATAGTGTAATTTTTCTGAAATAATTGCTATATATCCTCCAAATGACTTTTAAAATTTTTACTCTATTTTTTTTTTTTTTTAAATATATGCCCTATTTTCATCATTTTGAAAAAAAGTGACCAGGGGCCTGGCATGGTGGTGCATGCCTATAATCCCAATATGCAAGAGGTTGAGGCAGGAGGACCTTTGTGAATTCCAGACTAACCTGGGCAACAAAGTGAGCTCAAGGTCAGCCTGAACGGTGTAGGGAGACCCTGCCTCAAAAAGATTAAAAAAAAAAAAAAATCACTAAAAAAAGTGAACTTTTGTAAACTATAAAGATGGGCTAAAGGTAAATAATTTTATAAGCATAATGGATGCATTGTCTAAAACTAGCAAATATGGTATTTTATTTGCTTTGGGAAACCTTGCAGAATAATACTACTTCAATAAAATTATTCATCTTAACTAAATTCACTTTTCTCTGCTTTTTAAAATTGTCTTCCCTCTGTAGTTATATTATTTATTTTCCCCCAAGAAACCCAAAACAGAAATAAAAGAAAAAAATACAATATAGATATGAAAAAATATTTTACATTACCTTAACTGCAAAGATTGTAAAGATAACTTTCATTCAAAATAATTATTTTTTTTGCTACCAAAAATAAATATTATGACAAGGGGTACCTTCAGCAATGCATATAAAAATGATTTTCAAGTTAACATTGTAACATATTAGGTTTGAGAATAACATAAAATATGTGTTGTGCATATGACTAATGCATGAGTGACAGTTTTAACTTTAAGTGTAAATATGAACTATACTTTAGAAGCGTACAGTACTTAATTTAGATAGAATACAGTGCTTAGTAGTTACTAAGACCACCATTTCTGTCTTACCAGAATTGGTCCAAATCTTTGCTTGGTCACTGTGGTATAATTAAAAGCACTGAGTTCTCTGGGCCTTAGTTTAACTTACAGAAAAGTGGGGACTTATAACTCAATATATATGTGAATTAAGCAAGGTTTTGTACACAGTACCTGTACACTGTGAGCATTCAATGAATGGTTAATGTTACTCAAAAGCCATTCATTCAAAAATGTTTAATCAAAATGAAAGAAGCTATAAATTGCAGACAAAATTAATTTAATTGAAAACCAAAATTATTAATATTTCCAATAGTTATACTTTGGGTGAATGAAAATTGCTAGGGTTTTATGCTTAGAGGCGATAAAACAGTGAGTTACTAATTATTCTGGGTAAAATAAAATAGGAAATAGTAAGAGCTGTGGGAAAGGGATGCTCTCATTTTAAAGGTTTAAGGAAAGCGTTTAAACATGTGCTTAGCTAGTCACTAGCATTAGTTTTCTTTCCACTATACTCAGAGGAATCATCTATTTACCAAATATTCTTTGATTGCCTGTTATGTACCTGGCTGTGTTTACCTACCATTCAGAAGGAAATACCTCCTTTTTATGCTTGAATACTTTCCTTTTCCACAGACATTCCCACTGGGCCTGGGAGATGGGCAATTCTATTCATGGACAGATGGTTTGAGAAGAAAGGACTGGCATGACTATGAGAGCATTCAGAAAGAGGCAATGCGCTCAGGTATGAAGTTCAGTGTAAGCCATAGTGCTACTTTACTTACTGCAGCGTCTCATTTTTAATTAAAGTATCTTGAATCAGTATTTCTTCTGCACACTGTCTTCTAGGGACCTTGGTGATCAGCAATGGACACAAGTAAATGAGTTCAAATTTCAGGAAAAACACAAATAATGAGTATCCTTTCAAAAATAAACTGCAGAAGAGGTCATTACACTTTTAGAAATTGATAATTCCTTTTCAGTCATTTCTGGGGATGTATTGGGATTCATCAATGAGACATGGCCTGGTAGGCTATGTATTTTGAGCATGGTTCACTTATTAGAGCTGATGTGTACAGCATTGCAAGGTATCTAAATGCTACTGCAATTGCAAGGCAATATGCATTTTCTAAGAGGTACTAAAATTTTAGTCATTACAAGAGGATGCAGCAAGTCTGTAAATCTCAGAAGCTGGGAACCTGAGGTTGGAAATACTTGGACAAAGAAATGGGCAGTTAAACGCAGTCAAGAAGTTCTGAACATGTGTATCAGGATTGCCATCTTGGATTAGAACTGGAGTAGTAGAAAAGAATTTATCTTTCTAGAAAGGATGAAAAGTTAGGTTGTCGGAAGCAAAAATGAAAAAGCGCATATAAGTAGAAATCCAGTGAAAGTAAATAAACAACACAAGCTAGGAAATCCATACTCTATTATTTGGTGGATGGAGCTCTTCTTTCATATGGAGGATTTCAAGAAATAGAGCAGCTAATTTTTGGTGGAGATGTTTTAATAGCACTCAGACACTGTATCTGGGTGAAATCAGCAACACAACTATTGCTATCCATAGCCTTAGGTTCTCAGGGGCAGCGTTCCTCCCAACTCATCTTCTGGGAGAACTAGAACGAGGTGTTTAAGTACTCATGAAATTACACAAGACTGTTCTATGTCGGGAACAACTGACCTACTTAGTCTTCTTTCATTTTCTTCTATCAACTCTTCCCAAATAAATCTCACACCCCAATTTCTTTAAAGTAGCGTGTCTCTAAGATATTAAGAGAATAAGCCTCTTCCAGGTTTCATTATCTTCCCATGTTGAACATGACTTCTTCAAGTTTCTTTTGCATCTATTGATATGACCGACCCTATATTAATCCAACCATATCTTCCTCTTTTATAACTTGAAGATGCTGATGTATTTTGGACATAATGAAATACTATTACTAACTGAAGCTGCTTCAAATTAAAAATAAAATAATAATTTATTGAATGCATTTTCTGTACTAGATACTATTTAGACCTCAGAACAATTTTAGTGGGTATTATTATCCCAAATCTGAAATAAAATAAAATAGAATCCCTAAAAATTTTTAAAGTTTCACCCAAATTTAAGTAGCTCATAATTTGTAGAGCTCGAGCTGGTTTTTATCATGCTATACCTTACTGTCTAATAATCATAGAATAATATTTGCACAGCATTGAGTAATGATGAAGAAATAAATGAGAGAGGGACATTCCGGGATTCAAATCCCAGATTTTGTATTTCTGTTATCCTCCTGCCTCAGCCTCCCAGAGTGGTGGAATTACAGCCATGTAGCCCTGTGCCCATAAGCAGATCAATTTGTGTTCCCCATTTTCAGATGCCAAATGCCCTAAAAAATAAAGATAGCATTTCTAAAATGACTGGCTAATTATGTGGTGACATTATGCACTCAGCAAATTATATTAGTATTTATTAATCCATGTAAGTTTCTTTCACATGAATGAGTGTACTGATATTTCATTTGTATCAACAGGTCTTGGATGCAAAAGCTACACATTTATTTGTGGTTCATACCATTTGCTTGAGCATCTACACAAATACACATTTTGTACTCTCATCCTTAGACCAAGAGAAATCTGACAAAGAAAATTGGGAATAATAAATATTTTCAGTGTAAATTTCTTCTTCAATTTAAAAACTTGTAAATGTGTGACTTTTACATGATTCCCTTGAAGATATAAAAATGCAACTGATTGGATATTTTTCCTGATCTTTATATTGTGTGCCATATCATAAACAAGTGTTTTAGAACACACACACACACACACACACACACACACACAGGAGCAGAGTCAAACATTTTTAAAAAATCAGTCTATCATGGAACCAGGCCAAGAAAAAGGATTATTTGTGCTCTTATAGTCCCTCTAAGACTTAACTTTTGTGTTTAATTCCTTTTCCCCAGAGTTAATTACCATCTGTGTATTTATCCTTAAACAAACATTGTTACATTTTGACTGTGTTTGAGCTTTCTCTGAAAATTGAGTCATATTTTATTAATTTATTCTTGAAGTCAAAATTACTTTTTAAGATTAATTCATATCAGTATATGCCACAATAGTTGATTCATTTTCACTGTTTAATTTTCTATAAGTTCTCCTCTCCTTGAACATTTGGATCATTTCCAGGCATACATTATCCCATATAATGTTCTTGTAAGCTTCCCTGTGGATTTTCCTGGGGTGGAAATAATATTTTGTTATAGTATTTATTTAATAGTATATTTATATGTCCGGGGAATCCACATTTCAACTTTATTTATTTATGTGTAACTTTTCCAAAATTGTTCTAAAAATTTCATTTCAATCAATAATAGAAGGAATTCCCATTACTGTCCATCCCTGTCAGCATTTAATGTTGTCTGAACATTATTTCTCAATTTGATGACATGAACTAATATCTCATTATCACTCAAATTTTCATGTCCCATTATTTTTTCATTTTCTGGTAAAATTCCTGTTCACTTTGATTTCCAATTTCTGACTTTTTTCTTTTCCTTTGGAGCCACACAATGATGTTAGTTTAGTCTAGATGGTACATTTGGTGGTTCTGTGTCTCAAGAAAATCTCACAGTTTGCTCGACTAAAACATCTCCATGTGTGATTTAAGAAGTAGTTCTTAATTTTGATGTAGTGACATGCAGAAACAATTTTTTAAGTGTAGATCATACAGATGGTCTATACTGTCTTTTAAAATCTTAATAGTTTTATATTTTTGACCATAAATTCATCTCATCTTCATTTTTGTGTGTGAGGGATCCAATATTTATTTAGTTTTTGTCCACTTAAATATTCAGTCCTCACACATACAGTTTGGAAATTTCTTCTTCTCTTAGCGGAGTGTTTACTCTATAAATTAAGATGCTGATTCTAGGTTCTCAATTCTGTCTTCTGAGTACATATTCTTGTGCAAATAATGTAATAGAATATATATAAAACTTTCATAACAATTGCTGATATCTGTTTAAGCTGATATCTGTTAAAGACTATTTCCTGCTCTCTTTTGGTACATATTGCCATTCTTACATGAGGTCCTTCCTTACAATTCTAGATTCAGAATCAGGTTGCACATACACATTCACTAATATAGGGAGCTGGGGATTTAGCTCAGCGGTACAGTGTCTGCCTGGCAAGCTCAAGGTCGTGAGTTTGATTCCTGGAACCAGAAGAAAAACAAAAAACAAAACAAAACAAAAACACATTCACCAACATAACAAGAGTTTTAGATATATATTGAGCACCTTGATAAATTAGAGGATAACTGATATGTTCCAACACAATAATTTGATATAATAATGATTTTTTCCAGTTTGATAGTTATTCATTCTATGTTGTATCTTATTTTTCCAACTTATTCATTAAATTTAAGAAGAGTTTATAATTATATACTTAGATTTTTATTGTTAATCTTAGAAAATTAATATTGGTGTTTTATGCATTTTTATCTTATTTACACTATACATTGTACTTGATATCTAGAAATGCTAGTATTTTAAAACTAATTTGAATTTTAAAGCTACTTTGAAATTTTCTATTAGCTAAAATCACGTAAGTGGAGGTTATTTTGGGGGTGCAAAGGATAAACATTCACAAGATCTACAAATAATAAATGACACTGTATTTAATTTTTTTTCCATATTTGATCTTATAATTTCAGTTCTTTTTGCCTTGCTCCTAAGCATGGTAAGAGCACCGTGTAATGTCCAAGAGTTAGTAATAATGGCTGTACATAACTTTTGTTGATTTTTACAGTAGTAAAAAATATTCTTTTTAATTTGTGTTTGCCTTCCTGCCCATCTTTCTATCAAATATTAATATACTCTACTATTTACTAACATTATACAAATATGAGTTATGCTTTAACAAATGTATTTAAATCTTCTGATCTTGGTTGATGAGAGTTTGTGAATTTTATTTTTAAACATAAAAATTTATTTTAGAAAATATTTTGTTGCATTAATTAATATTGTTAATAATTTTCTCACTAATATATTATTTGTATAAATGATAGTTCTTTCTTTCATAATAGAAACCAAACTCACAATCCTGGACTAAGTTTGTCTTTTCATTATTCACTGTGTTTGGTTTGCTAATTTTTTTTTAACCTTTTCAAAGCTGTATTTATGAATTAATTAATTTATTAACATTGCCCATGATTTTTTTTCTTGTAAAATCCTTGACAGATTTTTGGGAAGAGCATAATGATAGCTTCATAAAATGACTTGATTAATCTGGACTATTTTTCTAAACTTTCTAATTTTTTCTTGCACATTAAAATTAGTTGTTTATTAATAATTACAGAAATTTTTGGATGAAACTACTTTGACTTGAATTTTTTGTAACAAAAATTTCTGAATACTAATGAAATACTTATAGCACTAGTTGATTATCTATTTTTCTTGTGATTAATTATATTTTTCTAGCAGAAGATCTATTATATCTATATTTTCATAGTAGTTAGACTTATTCATATCGTGCCCTTAAGATTTTTGAAATGTCTGTAACGTTTAAATTTGTTGCTTGTTTCCAGTGATATTTGTTTCGGGTATAAAAATGTTTTAGTCTATTCTACTAAAAATTCCTCAATATTATCATTTCAAAACGTTCTTGACTTTGCTATTTTTCTCATTATTTTATCATCTACACTTATGTCTTTTATTTCTTTTCATTGGTGTATTCTAAGATTTAAAAATACTTATATGTCTT